CGCCTGGCTCTGCCTCCCGAGTGCTGGGATTAAAGGCGTGCGCCACCACCGCCCGGCCTATTTTTTCTTTTTTAAAAAGGTGATTTTTTTATTGTTTGATAATTTCATACATGCTTTGTGTGTGTTTGTGTGTGACAGGGTCTCACTACATAGCTGGCCTTGAAGTCACGATCCTACTCAAACTCCTCAGTTGCTAGGATTACAGGCATGTGCTACCATGCCCACACACAGTATTTCTTAATAATACTAAGTAATAGTACTAAGTCAAAACTACTGCAGTGTTCAAATAGGCTTGCCTACTAGTGTTTGAAGGGCCTCGCCCTTCTCCCCATTCCCTCTGCCTTGCTGAAAACCCTTAGATTACATTCCTGAAGCTAGCCCCCAAGGTCTAGTCCCTTGTTTGGCCACTTCCTCCTCCTGAGGCTGACTACCAAGGTCCAGCAATCAGAAGCATTCTTTGGTTCACCTAATCAACATGCCTCATTAAAACTGAACATCTCGTCCTAACACAGGGTCCCCTGTCCTTACTTTTATAAACCACCATTTTCCTATGGGCCATGTCTGTCTGCTCTCTATGCAGAGGCAGTCCTTCATCCTCCAGGACAAACACCCCTGCCCCCTTTCCCTTGCCCCCTCCCCTTCCCCCTCATTCCCTCTCTCCTTTACCACCGCATCCTAGCACATTCTAACACCGATCTCTCCTTTTCCCCTCTTAAAAACGACACCTGCAAGGTCATTTGCTCCTGTTTTCTGCCTGAGTCAGAAAGCAGCCACTTTAACTTTTCTTCCCTGCTTAATAAAGGATCTCTCGGTGAAAACAGGTGTTTGGGTGTGGTTTGTGCCTAATCTGGGGGTCCGGGAGGAAGCCTCAGCTGTGTGGGGATCTCTCTCAGTGGCCATTAACTCAGTTGAATGGGCAATGAGCAGCATTTAAAACAACACATAGAGGCAGGAGAAACGGTTCATTGGTCAAGAGCACACACTGCTCTTGAGGATTGAAGTTCAGTTGCATGCATCAATGTTGGGCATCTCACAACCACCTACGACTCCAGCTCCAGGGATCGGACATCCTCCTCTGGCCTCCAGAGGCACGGCATTCACATACACACCACACACACACACACACACACACACACAGAGAGAGAGAGAGAGAGAGAGAGAGAGAGAGAGAGAGAGAGAGAGAGAGAGAGAGAGAGAATTAGAAATAAGAGAAATCTTGAAAAGCAAATACAAGGCTGAGGGGTTTGGGGATGTAGCTCAGTGACAGATGTGTGTAGCATGTACAAGGTGCTGTGTTACATCCTCAGCACAGCACCACACAAAAAGCCCCAAATCCAACATCAACAAAAATATGTTAGACTAGGAAGTCACGAGATGTCACATGTGGGATAAGAGTAAGCATTATAGCCAGGTAGTAGTGGTGCATGCTTTTAATCCCAGCATTTGGAAGGTAGAGGCAGGTAGATCTCTGTGAGTTCTAGACCAGCCTGATCTACAGACAGGACAGCCAGGGCTACACAGAGAAACCCTGTCTTGAAAAAAAAAAAGTAAGCATTGTGCTGTGAAACCTGACATTTTCATGTTCTTGTTCCTATTGTGTGGATATGTGTGTATTGGGTTCTATAATTTATATTTTATGGTGGGGTTATAGTTTAAAATTGTGGAAGCTGCTGGTCTGGAGCATGCATTTGTTTTAACTTTTACAGTTGCACATATCCATTGGGAAGGCACTCTCATGCCATGGTATAACATGTGTGGATTTCAGAGGACAGCTGTGGATGGGTCCTGGGGACTGAACAACGCACATGGTCAGGCTTGGTGGTGAGCATCTTTACCTGCTCCGCCATCTCACACACTCTTGAGCATGCATGATGTTAAAAAGACAGTTTACTTTCAGGGCTGGAGAGATGGCTGAGTGGGTAGAGTGCTTTCTGTGCGAGCACGAGGACCTGAGTTCAAACCCTCAGAACCCATGGAAAAAGCTGAGCATGGTCCCGGGCATGCCTATAATCCTAGTGCTTTGGGGGGATGGCGACAAGAGGATTACTGGAACCTGCTGGTCACCAGCCTAGCCAAAAGACGTTTGTGAGCTCCAGCTTCAGAAGAGACCCTGTCTCCAGGGAACAAGGCAGAGCGTGATGGAGCTGAGAACCTAGTGTTCTGTCTCTGGGCTCGTGTGTGAATGGGTGCATGCATATGAGCCAGCACCTCCCACTACCACAACATACAAACTTCTGCAAATTTTACTTTGACATTTTTCATATCTGCAGAAAAGTTGCAGGAATAGTAAAGTGAATATTTTGGCCATTTGCCTAAGTTTTCCAATTCCTAAGCTGTTGGCCACATTTTCTTTCTCTCTCTCGTCTCACTATATTACTCTTTTCTTTCTTTCTTTCTTTCTTTCTTTCTTTCTTTCTTTCTTTCTTTCTTTCTTTCTTTCTTTCTTTCTTTCTTTCTTTCTCTCTCTCTCTCTCTCTCTCTCTCTCTCTCTCTCTTTCTTTCTTTCTTTTTTCTTTTGAGACAGGATTTCTCTGTGTAGCCCTGATACATTATTTCTTACTAATAGTTTGAAATACAAATATCATGACCCTCCCCTTAAATACCTTAGTATGTAGTTCCTAAGAATGAAGCTATTCTCTTATCAATACCATTATCCAAAAATCAGGATCTCTCTAACTTATGAAACACTATTTAAAAACCTATTCTGTGGGAACTGGAGATAGAACTCAGTTTGTAGAGTGCATGCCTAACATGCACAAAGCATTGGCTTCCATTTGACCCCCAGTACTGCATAAACCAGGCCTGGTAGCATATGACTGTGATTCCAGCACTGGGGAGGTGGAGGCTGGAAGGTCAAAAGTTCAACGTAATTCTGAGCTGTATAGCCTGTTCTTGGCCAGCCTGGGCTACATGAGACCCTGTCCCCAAATGCAAACAAAATCACTCTGGTCTGAGAGTGTGGCCTAGTGGCAGAACAACTGCCTGGCACCTATAACATCCTGGGTTGCTTCTCCAGAACCAGACACACAATAAAAAAAACCACTGTGTTGAAATATCAACAACTGAGAAATGAAATTTTTTGAGTAGCCATTTTCCCAGTGGTAGAAAATGAATTCCTAAATCTTGACTTGTCTTCATTTGGTCATAATATTCACGACTCTAACTAAACCTGTTGACTTTAATGTTTCAAAGTGAACTAGTTCTCTGAATGTCGTACTGTCCAAATGTGGGAATCTGATGAGGTCAGAAGCCTTGTTTGCTCAACTGTGTGTTGTGGCCATGGAGACTGAGCAAAGATCACGAGAGTCCAGGAGGGCAGGTCTCTCTGTGTTTGGGTAACCATGGAAGTCCACAGTGGGCACACAGCCTGGGTTACTGAGGAACAAGGTGGCGCCTTGAGAGGAATGTCCTTCCCTTCATTTGGAATGGGTTCAGGAGTTAGCCTCAAAGCTTTGCTCTACTTCTGCCTGGGTTAGGTGACCAGCCTTTAAATGAACATTTACTTGGATGAAGTTTGGAACAAATATCAACACTAAAATAGCCTCCTGGGAGACAGAGTTTTGCAGACATACCTAGTCCAATAGAATTCTGGGAATGTGGGAGCTACTTATTGCCAAATAGATCCAGAGATGCCTAAATAGTAACCCTTATAAGTTCTCAGGAGATCTGCAAGTGAACCTTTCCCATTATGAGTTCATTAAAGTCTCTGCTGTGGGGAGCAGAGGAAGACCCGAGTGAATGAAGTCCCGAGTGAATGTATATGCTTGACATATGTGCAGCCATGTCAAGGATACCAATGCTTCAGGCCCAGGAGAGTGGCAAAGCCTCCCTCAGGCGAGGCTCAGAGGGATGACAAAACCTTCCTCGGGGTCTAAGTGTGAAGGATGACTGTGTGTGCAAAAAATGTTCAGCATAGCTTTCTTCCCCACCAGATATTTATAACTGCTTCCCCACAGAGACTGACCCTACCGAGATTAGCTAAACCCTTGATCCACCTCTAACCTATAAACCCTGCCTCTCTGTTCATGTTGGGCTTTGGGGTGCTGAGGCTCCTCCATCAGACAGCTCGGCTCACCCAGTCTCCGACTTTCTGTGTATATGGAAGTGTTGTAGCTCTGAAGGGCAAGGTTTTCTCAGTTCAAGTGTTACACTCTGAGGGGAAGGGTATCCTGGCAGTCAGGAGCCAAGGAACACCACAGTCACACAGCACAACCAACCTCCCACAAGAGATTCATTGGGAAAGATACAGAAGGGCGGCTGCCTCTGCTCGGGTGAGGAGCAGCAAAGATCTGAGCAGGAGGAGTTGCCTCTATAGGGCTTCTTGGGGAGGAGCTTTCCAGGGTGGAGAGTTCTGGGGTGGAGATTGGTGGGATTTCAAGTCCTGAGCTTGGGGCGAGTTCAGGGATTGGTGGGATTTTGAGCTCAGACTCGGTGAGTTTTCAAACCCAGAAGTGAGCTCAGACCTTTTACCCTACAGTATATGTATCCATGGGTTTGCCATTTCTTCATTCCCTCATCACCTCAGTCAGGTTAATCCCTAGAACCAGGCAAAGTACAGCACTTTCCTCCATCACTGGTTAGCTAGCACTTAGGGAAATGTTAGGTACCACAGGTTCTGCTAAGCAAAACTGGATGTAGCAGTCAGGGTGGGCCATATTTTGTTGCAGTAACAATCAGCCCCCAAACATCACTGTCTTACTGGAGTGTATAGCCAATGTAGGATGATTAGGGGAGTCATAACCAATGTAGGATGATTAGGGGAGTCAATATGGGGCTTTCCCCTTGTATCTGCTCAGGGAGTCAGGCTGATGAGGGATCCACCATCTCAGGCATGGTTACCAAAACACAACTTCAGCATTCCCAGACACAGGAAAGGGGAGGTTGAGAGAATCAAGCTTTCT